TCCCTTCAGAATTACCCAGGAGGTCAGAAACCTATTGTTTAAAGACCTGAGGAATTACGGTGATTCACAGCAGGGTAAGTTCCTTTTGCTTGGGACAGTAAGTACATCGCAGAAAGAACTAAAGGATCCTTAAAATAACAGCAAAAGACTGCCTTTATCTTTTCACTACAGTTGTGGTGTCAGCAGCCAAGAGATCAGCCCTTCTTTTGTCCAGGAGTAGATTGTACTAATGCTCTTTGGACATTTAATTACAGAGTACTACCTGAAAACATCTATTCCTGTGAACAGATCAGCTGTCTGGGATATTGCTCTAGTCAGCAGTTAATACCTGCTACCTGAATCATTCTGCTATCAGGAAAACAAATATGAGGAAGAAAGCTGATTTTTCTTTTGCTGGCGAAACAATATGGTTTCCAGGTGGGGGGGGGCACAACTGTATAACAAAAAGTTGCGTAAATCTCTTTCAAGCTGAAACTGTTTCTGTGGGGTTTTATTAAAACAGCACCGGAACAGCTTGAGGGAAGCGGTTATGTTAAAAAAAAAAGTCACATTTTTTATCAGAGTTACTCAGCAAATGATCTTCGATGATCACAGATTGGTAAGAATTCTTAGCTATGAACCAATCTGGCAGCATTCTTCTGAAATTTTCCTCTGTAGAAATCAGTCTCAAAACATAAGAACTTAAACATCATGTTTCCTGCAGATCATTGCAAAACAGCAGCCTTGACACGAAGATAACATAACTGTGCCCAAACAAATACTGGTATCTAAGAGTGTGGCCTTGTGTGTCACTGTTTCACATGGGCCTGCAGACACACAGCAGGGCTTTAGTGACATCCACTAAGAGCAGCACTGATGTGTCTGAACAGAGATGCAGCTGGATGTCCTGTGTTTGAGACAGACATGTTGGCAAATTCATAAATTTTTTTATCAACCACGTTTCAGGTAATTCTGCACTGACGGGTGTGTGAGATGAAAACATCAGTTGCAGTACTTTTGCACAATCTGTACAGGAGCCCCACGGGTGGTAAATGGGTCAAATTGCTGATCAGTGGGAGTCTTATTCTCATCCATGCAGAGCTCCAGTTAGCACTGCCCTCTTATCTTCATCCCTTAAATAAAGCTCAGATATAACAAAAGCAGCTCATATTTCTGCAAGCAAATGCCCCACAAACAAAACCAGAAATCTATTAAATTTCAAAGGTACTTTTCATTTACAAGATATTTTCAAAATGCAGGGCACACTGAAAAAGCTCGTGCTATGAAATTGTAAAAATGAGAAAAAATATTATTTTCATTTGGTGGCAATATTTACGAGAATCTCAATTCGAATTCCCTAGAACAGCCCAGGCTTCTTAGGATTGTGCCTTGATGTATTTTGTATATTGTATATTGTTGGAATACTTATTAGGCAAGAAATTGGGATCAAAGACAAGTCTGGATAAGACCGCACTCCCAGTCCATTTTGCTGTATTTATACTTGCCCTTTTTCACCTGCTCTATTTCTGCTTGTTTTTCCAAAGGTTTGAATGGTCAGTAGTCTGGTTGCAGTCCCAGGTCAGTAGCCTCAGGTTGGAGTCAGCGCAGCCCTAAGTCTGACCCAGGAAGCTTCACTGCTAGAGCAGGTGAGTGATCACATTCCTGTCAGGAAGGTCAGATCTAGCGTGTGCATGTGAGACAGACAAACACACAAAGACAGGCAACACAGTAACCATTACATTGCAGTGGAAGGACAATCAGTGGGCTTTATTCTAACATGTAAGAATACTGCCTCAGGGCTGAGGAAGAAGAAAGTCCTCAGCCGTCACAGATGAAGACCTCCACTGAGATTACGGAGACAGAAAGACAAGAAGATAGAGAAGAATACTTTCAAGCCTTTGTCCTCTGTGTTCCTTCTGAGACGTAGATGCATGAATATCAACAGCTTGTCTTAACCACTTAACTGCCGCTTCAGTGTACTGCACTACATTACGGTCTGTGAATGTTTTATTGTCCATTACTACTATAAGGACAATATAGTTTTTAAAAAACAAATGTCAAAATGTTTCCAAAATATTCACAACTGATATTTTTAGCTGCCAACTTTTTTTAGTTACATGTTTCCATATTAATATTCCTTATCAATTGTTCTTAAATTAATAACTTTTTTTACAATAACAAGTACATTGTTCTTTTTACATATTCTTAGAAAAGGATAAAACATTATAGGTTTTTACGAAGTACAGTATATAAACTTTAAATGGTTAGAACAAGCACATTAAAGTTGTCCAAAATACCCACCATAAGATGATGAGTTAACGAGCCACTACAGTACAGTATGTGTGATATATATTTTTCATAATCAAAATTTAAAGTTAGTTTATTGATTACTCACTGCTGAAATGTGCATATATATAAAATATAGAATTATCTCAAGGTGGATGTAAAGCTGAAAGAAGCACATCACGTTCACAACAAACTACAGTATAATAATACACTATTTTTATATATACAACTGAATATTTTTGTTTTCATAAAGTAGTCCAACTTTATTTTTTATTTACTTAAATATTTAACATACTCTAATAAACAGTTAATTAAATAAATAAAAGTCTAAACAGTATATAACTTAAATTCTATAGCTGGAAAAAGATTGTCTCACCTAAACCCCAGCTCAGCATTGACCGGGTTCCGAAACCAGGCCAACTTTTCTGGTGAAAGCCCAAATGCTTCCATATGCCATGTTATGCATTCACTGTGCCACCTAACACTTGTATAAAATAGTGCAGACCAAAACAGATTTAAAAAAACTGTGCAAAACATTGCACTGAGGTGTGTGCACTGCAACTTGCTGCATTTTCTGGCATGCATTCTGAATGGCTGGATCTGTAGGGCTTCAAAGGGAAAATGATGATATGATTTGTTTCCAACTCATTCCTTTTGAGATTAGATTGTTTCTCAAATATTTACACCTCCTCCTTCATACAATTCATTAATAAGAAAAAAAAATAACACAAAGTTACAGCATCCAATGGAAAGAAAATACAAAAGAGAAGTCTTAAGAGAAACACATCAAAGAAAAAAATGATTCTTCAGTAAGACTGAATTCAGAGAGCAGACAAAGAGACAGGCCACCCAGGCTGTACGATGGCCCGACAATGAAACGGCTCTCATCTATCTATGTGAATGTGAGCTTCTATTTAAACTCCTTTGTCACTGGCCTTCACTGTGGGAGAGGTGTGCAAGTGCTGCCAGGCTTGGAGGATTGTACCAGGGGAACAATTAAACTGGTAAAAGAAGAAATGCCTTCTCCCTGCTTTCTCAGAACAGTAAGATTTTCTATTCACCTGCTTGAGGTTTCTGCTTTGTTACAGGAGATTAAACACAAAAGGAAATAAAAAGGATAAAAGTGCTGTGTGTGTCTTTTTAGAAAACTTACCTTGCCTTCATTTTGCTGCATATCTTGGTTCATGGGTTTCCTGAGTTTTTTTTCTGACTGGGAACCCCTTCTTTGACAAAGACATCTATTTTAACATTCCCCCTTTAACCTGCAGCAGCCTTTGGACAAAAATAAAAAAACAGTGGTCTTCACCTGTTTGACTGCATAATTTAGTGGGCTGGAGAGCAGCCTGCCTTTCCATAGGAACAATCCCGTAAGACAGGACAGACAGGAGAGGCCTCAGGCATGCTGTTCCAAGTCTCCACAGTTCAGCCTGGAACAATGTCTTATCTGCTACAGTCCAGATACTAAAAAGGCAAAACAAATCAGACTGTCACACACTCAGAAGTTTTCATTATGAATATAGGTTCATGTGTCGTTGCCTTATCTTCAGGTGTCTGCTGAATTTCATTAATTTGGGGCTGGCACAGTTCTGACCCACTGCATCGAAGAGAAATTGAAAGCCTGATACAGTAGACTTAGTCAAGACCTGCCCTCTGTTGTCAGCCAGAATTAAAATCCACTCAAAGTCTCAGCTCATTAGGAGGCATGCCATGCAACAATGAGAGTGTGAGGACCCACGTAAAGGAGAAGATTTATTACTGGGCTCATATGCTTATTAAACTCTCTATTTCATTTGTTGCAAATGCAATAATAAACAGAAGTTAATGAGCAACAAACAGTCATGTATAAATTGTCCAAGCATCTCTAATGCACTCCAGCAGATTGGAAATGATCTGTCTTCTTCTAAATTTTAAATATACAAAAAGGTAAAAACAAGTGCGGTGATCTGTGGTGCACACATCAGGGAGACCTGTGTTATTAAGTCTTTAAAGAAAAGCAAACCTCTCAATGGCTATGCAAACTAAAGTCTGTCCTTGTCTAGTTACGCACATGGAAAATACAACGTGAACAGGAATAGTGTTTCACATTTTCAGATGCCGGATTTCCTTAGCAGAACAATACCAAAACAATGAATTGACAAGAAAGCAAAAGGTTATGGAACACAGCTGCACCTTTGCAGTACAGTTGTCCCTTTATACCTACAGAGGCATCCTTTCAGGGGGGGATTACTAACACATGCCAGAGTGGGCAGACTGCTTGTGCTTGTTTTTGTCAAACTGCAGGGAGAAAAGCCTGAGCTGGTGCATCTTAGGTGAAAGTCAAAGGTGAAGCAAATACAGTTCTGCACTGTGACTGACATGCCTGTGAATCTGCACATGTGCAAAGGCCTTCCCTGCCTGTGGAGCACGTTGGGTATATAACTCACCATTTCACAATACATAATGTGAAGTAAAGGAAAAGCTAATCATTCTGTATCTCAACTACACAGGAAAATACTAAACTAATCAACAGCAGGGAGGCAAACAACAACAGTTCCGTGAAGTATGCAGGACAGCGGTTATAATGGGGATGGGAAAGGAATAATTTTGGCAAGAGTTAACCTTAGATTCCCAGCGTCTTACATGAGTCGAGAGTCTGCGGAAATGTCCATTTATCACACAGCTCTGAGACACAGACAGAGGACAAGGGAGCAGCCCTTCCCTGAGCTCTCAAACACTCCACAGTGAAAATATTTAGTGAGAAACTTTATTAAAAAAATAGTCAGCATCTTTAAACAATACAAACATTTCACCCTTTAGTACTACATGTTTTCTTAGCTTTGCCATTTGGAAAATATGTTACTTTTCCATTGTAGAAAGTGCACTATGGTTAAAGCTTACATGAACTTTATATACAGACTTATTACAGACCTCATTACATTCAAAAGTGAAGATAAGTGCGAATGTTACTTTTTTGCTGTAGTAAAAAGGTTATGATTGGCACAGTGTTTAGAATGTGAAAAAAATGCCAGATGGCCATTTACCACTCTTGGAAGGCCATACAGGCAACAATCAGTTTGGATCAAAGAAGGAGCACATTTTACCTTTCAGACAAACCCCTTTAATTAATTAAACCATTTTTCTGTTAATAAAAGATCCAGTGCTGTACCCTCCAAACAACAAATCCCAGAAGCACAATCCCTGACATTTTCGTATCATTCACATGGCTGTGTGCAATTCTTCAAGCAGCTCTCAATTTGGCTCCATCCACAAAAGGTCTTTTATAACCATTGTAAAATCAGGAAACCTGTGGATAATCAGCATTAAACAATAAGTTTATGTATAAACGTGTAAGAGCTACATTAAAAAAAAACACCAGTACTAGGTTGGAGAAATACTGTCTTTTGTTATGTTATTTAACATCACCATCACCAGTATCACTATGTTACCCCAGGTAATAAATAATTACATGTGTTAATTTCCAGCAAACAGCATTAATTTACTTGCAGCTTAACATTGAGAAATCCTTCTTTTTGTAGCAGTCTGCACAAAGCATCAGGAAGTATGAAATACACCCTTGAGTGTGTTTTTTAAAGTCCAAGGTATCTCCTTATAACTAAGGGTCGTCAGAAGCTCTATACAACACCCTTAAACTCAAGCAAACGTTTAAGGGGAAAACTAAAGAGGAACTGAGCAGCACCAAGTGATTTGTGCTGCCAGCTCCAGGTGGGCTATAGGTTGCAGGCAGTCTCACAGACTGGACAGCAACAGGCCTCAAAGGGTAAAGGAGGTCATGTTGGTGGGAGAGAGAGGGGGTGAGGTGATGCTCTTGCGTCCCAAAGGAACTTTCTGCCAGCAGAAGTGACGCATGTCCTCCAAAATGCCATTGCTGACCAGCATGTACAGCACAGGGTCCACCACGCTGTTCAGGCTGGACATAGCCAGGGAGGTTGTGAAATAGATGTGCACGTGGTTCTCGAAAGTGCAGCTACCCTCTTTGTAGAGGGAGAAAACGAGGGTGCGCAGGAAAAGGAGGATGTGGTACGGGGCGAAGCAGAAGGAGAAAATGACAATGACGCCGATGGACAGCAGCTTGACCTTGCGCTTGCCCCGGTCCTCCACACTGCTGCGCCGCACCTTGTGGAAGATGCGGGTATAGCAGAAGATCAGGATGACCAGGGGTGCCAGGAAACCAAAGGCCACACGCAGGAAGTTGAAACGGGCGATGGCGGTGGTGAGGGGGTAGCTTTCGTAGCAGCGCTTGTTCTGGCCGTCCTCCTTGTGGTTGACTAGGATCATGATCAGGTGCAGTCCCATCACGCACACAGCCACTGACAGACAGACCAGCCATGCGTAGCGACTCCGGCGGAAGGCCTTGGCGCGCAGCGGGTAGGTTACTGCCAAGCAGCGGTCAATGGAAATACAGCACAACAGGTAGATACTGACGTACATGTTGGAGTAGTACAGGAAGCCTGCTAGATGGCACGCAAAGTGCCCCAGACCCCACTTGTGGTCCATGTGGTAGTAGTAGATCCATAGTGGCATGGTGAATATGTAGAGCAGGTCAGAGATAGAGAGGTTCAGCAGGTACACCCCAAGGACATTGTGGCTGCGCACTTGCTGGATGATGGGTCCCAAGGTCAAGAGGTTGGCCAGGACGCCGATCACAAACACCACAATGTAGATAGACATCAGCACATTGCTAATGGGGCCAAAAGTAATTGGGCACGTTCTGTTGTCAGTGGTGTTCATGATGTGAGTTCTAACAGTAAGAGTTTTAGGGCCACTAACGGCTGGAACTAGGCTCTTCGAAAGCAGTCTTTGCTCTTCTGTAGTAAAGGCTCCTCAGTGCACATAGGTGTTAATAAAAGTCAGCATCCTGCAAAAAACAGAACAGCACATTGTCACATGGGCACCCTGACATACACTTACTTTCCATTGATGGGTTTGCAAGGTTTATATTTTTTGGAGGCATTGAAAATAAAAAAATAAAATCAGCTTTGCCTTTTGCTTAAGAAAGCAAATAAGGATGATATGAATTCATATTCAAGTAAAAAGATATAACTAGAGTGGCTCCCTACAAAACAGTGTTATCTGTAATGATTTCCAGTTGATGGGTTTGCATTAATGTTTTTTTCATCACAATTCACATTTTGGCATTAGTAACAAGATCCACTGGCACCACAAAAGAGAAGTTTCAGAAGGTGAGTTGTGCAGAATGTCATAGTTTCATCACCAATGACTCACAACAACAAAAATAAATAAGATTCTATCTTCACATTTCTGAACCAACATCACCAGCGTGACTGTCGCAAAAAAAGACAGCACTTATGAACCACCTGAATACCACAGGAACTCCACTCACAAATGTTTACAATGTGGTCAGATAGATGATGCAGTTGCTATAGAAACCCTGCAACTGTCTTGAAAGTGCAATTTATTAATTGCTCACATTTTGCTGGTATATGCCACTCCTTAAAACAGGAAGAAATACAAAATCAGTAAAATGCATAGTGACTTGCTTTAGGCATTCAGAGTCATTCATCTTCACAAAATACAAAAACTACTGTTTAAAACGTGAACTAAAAGGGTATTTTAGTTTATCCTAAAATGACATATAACCACATAACTGCTGCGTTTTGCAAGTTCACATGAAAGTCAGTAGGTGAAAGATTTTGAGGAGTTTCCAAATGAGCACTCAAGCCATTTAGGATGTGAGTTCATAGATAAACTGCTTCTACAAGAGCACACGCCCAGGACTCAGCTTGGAAACACAGCGCCACATGCAGAATGCGGGAAAGAGGAACCTTATGGAGCATGCAGACATTTACACAACTCTTCCCTTCTTACTACAGCATGTGCAGTTCTAAGAACAAAAAAATATTTCCTACTGAGAAAAAGAGCACACCTTACCCACAGACTCTATTTGATCGAAATATCATGAGTTACTTGAGTAACACACCTCTGCTCAAGGGAAACTATGGAATGAGCTCAGATGCAATCTGTTCGATTTAGTTTTGGAAAACCCCTAAAATTGTCATTGAACACAATGAGTTTCAGAGCGGGTGGGGAACTTTATGAGTAAAATAACAAAAACAAAAATTAATATTTGAAGTGATCATTCTTATAGATCTGTTGAATGTTCTTCTGCTTGGTCAATCTACTGGCCCCAGGGATTAGGACTATGTTTCTTTACACATATTTACTAGGGTAAACGCAGAGCAATTTGGATATCAAGGTCAAACCATGTTAAGGCACAAGAAAGCTGATACAAGCTGCGAGGAACCATGGCAAAGGAAATAAGTGCATGTGGATCAGCAAAAATACTGTACAAATCTGCTGTGATCACCGATCATAAAGTCACATGAGAAAATGGAAATCACATGAGATAACAGTACCTTCAGGAGATCCCACACCCTTTTTCAGCCCACTAGTTTATAAAAAACTGATTTTTAAGTGTTATAGGAACAATGTAGAAATAAAGTTGCCAAATTAATATTACTTTCCCCTTTCAACAGAAATACTCACTTTGTGTGTCATCTAAAAAAAAGACAGCTGGGCAGGAGGCTATCTGGAGCAACCTGCACAATTGTCAACAACACAGGAATATGTTTCATTTGGTTGACAAAGCTTATCACTACATTCAATAATTTTTTTTCTGTGTGCCGTAGCCTTTAAAGTTTGTTTTAAATTGTAAGTACTATAAGTACTTACCAGATTACTGACACCAAGACATGTAGCCCTTTCCGTAGACAACTGTTGTGTTTCTGAATTCATGCAATACTGACTTGGCCACAAAGGAAGGCAGACCTCAGAGCAGACAGGCAGTAAACACACTGTTACGCTGATTCCACGTGCGTATCTATTCTGTGTGCGTAACTGAGATAAACATCTGCTTGAGCTGGCTGTGTGGGGTGCTTGTGTCTGACTCAGAAAATTTCTAGGGATGGTTTCAGATCTTCATTCAGACCTGAATGAGCAGCCGCAGTCTCTGATGATTCTTCTCACCAATTAGGTAAAGGACAGAAATAACTTCACTGGAAATTTTTGGGAAAATAGCAGGAAACATATTTTTAAGCCAGCTCTCGTCCAATGTGTCTGCAATGTCCTTTATAACAAGGGGTGTATGTTGATGATTTGCCTCTTAGTAGATCCTTTTATCCAATGCAACATACAAGGGCCAAGATCTTCAGAGAGGATAACTATTCATAATTCATAGTGGCTACAGATCACCAACACAAAAAGGACCTTGTTTCACAGCTCAGCAACATAAGGGACTTCAGATTCCTGTTCAGGCTAACAGGCAGAGTGACCAAGGGGTACTCAGGACTTGAACAAGGAACTTCCCGTCAGCAAGACCAAACCACTGGTCTGCTGTCTCTGTCTCTCTGTGCACCAATTCATTCCACAGTGACACAGAATGGGTTTCATATTACATCAACACAAGGGAATCACTTCAGCAAAAAACAAACTACAATTCCACTGCCGGAAAGAAATTCCAGGTTGTCTGATTTGCTGTCTTGTAAAGAAACATCTGTGGAGCCTTACACTGAAGGTCAAGTGTAGGTAGGAGTACACACAGTTTTAAACTGTACATTAAATCTTTAGAAGAAAAAGGAGAAATGTAGACGTATAGTATTTCTATCTTCAGAGCTGTGGACTTTTGGCGTTTTAAATCAAAATACACATATAAATTATATATTTGACACATAGCTGCATTGTGTAGTTGATTATGAAACTCAGTTTCAAATTATAGAAGCTTTAGGAAATCACAGGTTTTTACTTTTTTAGAAATAATAATGGATCCGTGTTTGTGCAGATTATTGGCATTTATTTCCGGAGTGTGGTTCACTCCAATTGCTCCACCTCTTGACAAGTGCAACCCTCACTGCTCCACCACTGCCGAGGACACTCAGGTGTCCCTGCTGCCTGATACTCCCTGTCTTCGGGCTTGGAGAGACTGCCAGGGATCACAGGCACAAACATGCCACAGCTGAGGTGGTACTGCTAACACATCGGTAATGCAGCTCATTCTAACACATCAAGACTTAAAATTAAGTCTTATTCTCACCAGCGTGGTCTCCGATTGTGCCACGTGGTCGAGTGTACCTGTGCTTCAGATTTTATTCCATTGAAACACAGGGAGACTGCTTGATTTAAAACAAACGATGAACAGGTGATTATATCATGCTGTTTGAGCCCTCTGACTGAAGGGTTTGCTTAATTTTGACATTATTTTAACTTGTTTTACACCTACTGAGAAAGAGTAAGAAATTAGCAGTAGCCCCATGAAATTTCGAGAAAATGTTCTCGTTTAGCTGCAGTGTTTCAACAGCCTGTGGTCCAAATTGAAGTGCGTGTACGGCAGGCGAAACAGGAAGTTTGAGACAGGTCTACCAGTCACTGACTGCTAACAGACAAGACCATTTATAGGGCAGCAACAACTTGTTTGCCCTTTTCATTTACTTCTTCCTGTAACAGGGGGTATTTCTATTTGTAATGTTTACCAAATATATGACAAAATAAGCAGAAAAATGAAGGAATTACAGCAGAAATAAGAATTCATATATGAAAAAATCAAAGCTTTGTAAAAAAAGGCAAATGATGAGAAGAAAGTTATCAAATATAGATTCAAGGGTTGACATTTTGTGTATAGATTTTGCACAAACCCTCATAAGATTATGAGGTTTATTTTCTCCACAGAAATTCCATTACTTATTTCAATCCCTGCGTGGGAAAGTGAGAAAGCCAAATGCCATTTGCAAGAAAAAAATGCCAAAACAGGAAGAAATCAATTTAAATTTAGAAATCTTCAAGGAAGTTCCACTTACTCACTTTTTCACAAAGGAATGATACCGTATAAATAAAAATTAAAATCCCACCTAGCAAACATGTATCTGTCAACACTGGCTATGCAAGAAGGATAGTAAGAGCAGGGGTACTGGGCACGGACAACAGTTTAAAAAACAATTCAGAAAAACTTAAAGTAAAAGAAGAGTTTTTGGAGCTTTAGGGTACGTTGGTACTCACATTTCCATGCATGAATGAAAGGAGGTTTTCTGTCCCAGCAAAGAAATCCCACACAACTCGGATCCCACAATAAGTAAAATGAAACAGGATCCAACACCAACACCTGAATCCAAATTAAAATTCCTGATACTGTATATCAGCAGCAAAACAAAGTTAAAGCCTTTATCGCTTGGTTGTTTTGTCTTTACTGACAAGGCTTACCAGTCAGAATGACCTTTTGATCGACAGCAGTGTGCCAACACAAGGGAGGGAGATACAGCCAGAGAGTATACAGAGAGAAGATGGAGGCATTGCTGCATGCGCAGACTGCAGGGGTGTGACTAACAGCTCCCGTGTCTGGAGAGGAAGCTGGGAGATACACAGAGCTCAGTGCATGTGACAAAGAGACATCAGCTAGGGCTTCAGAAACCACAAGCCTCCATTCACCACAAGAAACATGACCTCATTGCATTCCACCCTGGGTGGACCTCTGGGTGACAGTGAAACACCAGTCCCATGGCTCCCAGCTCCAGTCCTGGGGCAGGTTCTCTAGATCACACGTAAGACAGCCTGGGCAGTACAAGACTGGAGCATGTAAAAAAAAAAATTTAAAGTATTTGGAATTCTTCACATTTCACTAATTTCTAATGATTTTCAGCAAAATAAACTTACTCGATTGCCTGTAGACCAGGTGGTCTTTGCTACCTGCTATACTGTAGGTAATACAGCTTGCAGCTGAGCAACTGAAACAGCAGGGGTTTCAAAGTGGTCAACCACAGCATTGAACCACCAACGTCTTTTAACACCACATACTCAGTTATGCCCACAGGCTATATAATTCATGATGTCAGCTGCAGCTTGCAATGACTCCAGCATTATCCTTTAGCTGTACATTAAGACAAGACATATGGTATATTTTTTATTTTATTTTCAAGGAGCACAAAAGGACCATTTTTTCTGTATGTTTGTATGTCCTGCTCCCCACAGTGCCTCTATACATGTCCAATAACACAACTGCATTGGGTTTCATCCATCCATCCATTTTCCATCTGCTTCTTCCAATTCAGGGTCACTGGGGAGCCGGAGTCTATCCTGGCAAGCACAAATTCAAGGTGGGGTACACCCTGGGTGGGACACCAGTCCATCACAGGGCGACACACATACAACACAGTCACACACTCACACCAGGGCCAGTTTTCTCAGAAGTCAATTAATCCACCAGTATATGTTTGGACTGTGGGAGGAAACTGGAGCACCTGGAGGAAGCCCCTGTGGAGATGGAGAGAACATACAAACTCCACACAGACAGCACCCTGGGTCTGGAATTGAACCCAGAGCCCCAGATCTGTGAGGCAGAAATACTTAATTATTGTGCCACTGTGCCTCTTTTTGAAAAGAAATTAAATTATACTCCTGAAACTTAATTTCATTTGTCTTGAGAAAGGCCATGTTACCAGTAATAATTCTAAAAAGCCTCCTCTGTTACAATTCTGGTGTAAAGCATAAAGTACCTTATAATACATCCTGAATAAAAGCTTTTGCTAAAAACATTAAAATTAATAAAAGAAAGGAATATTTTTTAAACCAATACAGTCAAGATAAAAAAATAAATAATTCAAAGAGATTTTATTACATTTTTCTTCAGCCTCCAGGTTCTGCCTCAGTGAAGCTGAATGTTCTATTGAGACCTGATTCAAGCATTTCAAAACCACTACAAAGGATCTGGCAACTTCAGACCTATGGATTATAAAGGAATGTTGGGATGATATTCTAGGATCAGTTAAGCAGTATCAACAAAATAAATGAGATGGATTGAAAAGCCTCTTCTTGTTAGTGATCTCTAATGTTCGGTGCTGTTACTCCTACAACAAGAATTCCTGTCAAGAAAACTGTCCATCTGATTTTTAAAAAGCTCTGAAAAACAACGAGCAGGTTGATGATTGAACCACTGCAAGTTTCACAACTAACAAAAATGAAAGCAGGGTGTAATTTAAGGGAAAACCCCCTTTCTTGGTTCCTCACATTCACAGAGAATGAATCAACTTGCTTACTTGTCCTCACGGGCCATCTGTATCTGTGCTTACTTAAAAGACGGAGTCTACGGCTCCCCAGTGGATACAGAACAGTTCCTTTGAATTGCAGAAAGTCCCAGGAGTCACGCCATGTGCCCTCTTGAGCTCACCACTCAGGGCTTTCCAGTCGGAATCCCCGCTGCATCAAAGAGTGATGATCTCTGTGTAGACAACAACCAGGGATAAGACAACTAGATGTCACATTTGATGTCAAGGTGAACCTCCATGTTAAGGGGTGGGGTTGACAAGCTCTGTAACCTGACACAAGATGGTGGACACAAGACAACATTATCAATCCACAACAGGTAACACACAACATAATTCAACGATACATATTGTATAACACAGAACTAGCAAAATCTATATACAAATGATAGGCCCATCAAAGCAAAGTTCTGTGCTCAACGACAGAGCAGTAGCGTCAGTACTGGACATCAGAATTAATAGTGTCAGAGTGTGGAGCTTTTGTCCACTTTCCAATGTTATATAAAAGTCAATTTATGAACCTTTATGGAGCACTGTGAAAAGATCGGTGCCTTCATTACCTGTGTATGTGGTCTGGAGCTTAAGATAAGATCACTTTATTAGCCATATACAATTTCTTGCATTAGGAATTTGTATTTTCACATGCCCTAACTTGCTCTCCATGAGATACACAGGCACACAGATAGGGAGAGAGAAGCTTGGGGTCAGAGTGCATGCTCAGCCATTTATACAGTGCCCCTGGAGCAGTTGGGGTTAAGGGCCTTGCTCAGGGGCCCAATGGAGTAGGATTCCTCTGCCAGCTGTGGGATTTGAACCAGCAACCTCCCAGCCACAGTCGCAGATCCTTAGCCACAGAGCCACCGCCCCACCATATACAAATGATAGGCCCATGAGACCAGCGTAGCACAGCCCTTCATCACAGCGACCAACACAGCAAAGTCATGATTGTTGTTCCCCACTACTTTCCTGCTTTCGAATCTCCTTCTAAGTCAGGATTTTCAAGCCCTGCTACTGAAGAGCCCCAATCCAGTTATATTTAGAGGTCGCCCCAATTCCCCTAGTTATTTAAAGATGAGGTACACTTTTTTAAGCAGTGGTTCCATTAATCAAGTCATTTTCCAGTGAAGGGAATACTTAAGAGCTGAAGGATATTGTGATTTGTGTTTCAAATGATCTCTAAATTACGTCAAATTACCCATTTAACTGATTATAACTAACTTGTTCCCAGCCTTTGGAATTTGATGCCTGGCCCACATGGTATTTAACATGACCGTAAGAAGGCTGTGAAGAGAACAGGCCGCCATCCCAGTGGAGACGGACAGGCATTTCCTCTACACTAAGTGCACCATCAAGGCTGCCTGTCTTTCCCTGTGTCTACCCCACACACTGATTTCTCTCTGCGTGAGAAAAATATTTTTTACTATCAGTATGGAATTGAAATAAGCTTACTACTCAGAAGAAAGGTAATAATTATTACCTTGGGAATGTTCATATACAATAACTAAATGTTCACTCGATTTGGTCTGTCACAAGTTCAAATTCTTCACCCAGAAAAAGTTCTGTTTAGCCTGAGAGTGACTATGTCAACAAGCCAATGTTACAAAGGAACAAGTAATAGGTTTATTCCATGCTGAAAAGAGAATAAAGAAAACAACGTTTCGGCTGTGCAGCCTTCTTCGGGTGACTGGCCTGGCCTTCGGCTCACACCCGAAGAAGGCTCCACAGCCGAAACGTTGTGTTTTCTTTCTTCTCTTTTCACCATGGAATAAACCTATTACTTGTTCCTTTGCAGCCGACGCATGCTGATGCAGCTATCCACCTGAACTACTTTCCTAAATAATTACAGTCAAATGGAATACAACATATGCCTTCAGGATATGAGAAAATCTATGAAAAAATAAAAAATATATATTTCCTGGGAAGTTCATGGTAAGTTCAATTTGAAGAGCTTTTTGCCGTCAGAGACGTTGCCCAGGGGTCACTACGAGGAAGTAGCTCTTCTTGACCCCCTTTCTTGGGAAAGAAATTAAGCACAATAAAAACAAAACTCTATCATGGCTAGTCTTCAGCTGGACCTCCTGGGCAATGACAGTAATTCTCCTGACTAGGGCCTCCACAAACAACCACTGAACCCACTACAAACAATTCACTTAAAGCACATCAGTAGCCAGTATCTAGGAAAGTGTCTTGGGTTATAAAAGTATTTGCAAGTCTAGAATATAAAGTAGGAGTAGGCAGTTTGACTTGGTCCTCAAACACAACAGAGAGTGACTGCTTTTTGTTTCTATATTGAAACCACTTCAAAACTCCAAAAGTGTCCTAGTTACACTTGTACTGTTTTTTTAACCTTAAAATATAGTTTGACACAAATGGGGGTGGTGTGTTGTAGAATCAATCTTTTAATACGTTGGTCTAACTAAGGTACAAAATCAGTGCTCTATGGTTACTTTAGTGTAGGAACAAAAAAGCAAAACCACCAAAAACAAAAAGCTCTTCCTTGAACTAATAATACTTCTTTCAAAATCTCTGTAGTTATAATAACCAGACACAGTAGATAAGCTGCTCAATGGTTTTGCAGTGACATCTGTGTGAGATCCTTCTCTAAAACTCTTTCTCCAAACATTAAGTGTCTGTCTGAGACTCTTCTAAAAAATTGACATACTGTAGTTAAATGCTACCTTTTCCTTTTACCTGCCCAATCTGATTCAATCAGATTCAAGGAAGATCTGCCTTCTGTATACAGATGGCAGGTCATGACGGATCACCTAGAAGCCCCTGCTTCCTGGTTGTGTCGCCTGACCAACTGTCTGCTCCCAATTGATCAGGTAACTGAAGCAGGCAGGTCATTGCCCACAACCTCCTTGTATAATTATTTTGTTTCTCAAATATGAACCTTCTCCCATCCACCTGAGACCTTATAGCCCAATCCAGAGACAAACACTGCAGTGTTTTTCTCTATGCCACTAGTCAATAACAGAGCACGTAATTTCAAAATGCAAAATAACTTGGATAGCGTGTTTTTGGAAGGTGGGAGGAAGCTGGACCAATACACAAACACAGAGAGAACATGCAAACTGCACACTGAAAGCATCCCAGTACAGAATCGAACCATGAGTTGTGAGACAGGAGCACTAAATAATATACCACTGTGTGGGTCCAAATTAAAACTTGACTTTTAAAGAAAAAGAGGTAAAAATGCATGGCCTATTATAATTCAAGGAACAAATGTTGCAGGTTGAGCCACTCTTTGTATGGAGATACCTGCA